AGTATCTGAAATAATTGTTCTTATGCTTAACTTGGGATGTAGGAGCTTGTAACTTGCTGATTGGCAAGCTCGCATTTGAGACCCAATTTCGCCCACAGGAGAGGATGAGCTCCTCTCACTTGCTCCAGCTCCTGTTAACCTAGCCATTTGAAAGTGGGAGACCATGAGTAGGTAAATGGGTATCAGTATTGGTAAGGAGCTTATTGATATTTTAATAAAACCATCTTTTTCATCATAACCACATTTATTATAACCTATTTTAAGTGTGGAACAGAAATGCTGCTTATATAATTTTCAGATAGAATATTTTGAATTGACAGTGCATTTGAAATAGTCCAGCAAAGTTAAAAGATAAAGAAAAACTAAGATTAAAAAAAGAAGGAAAGTGGAGGCAAATATTTCTATGGTTTTGCTATTCATTCAATTTCTTTTTGAAAGTAATAAACATTTTCAGTCTTTCTTTCTCCATCTCTGTTTCTGACCTTTTTTGTTTGAGTTTGTTAAGGAGAGCTTTGTAAGGGAATGTTAAGTGAAGAAGACCCAAAGCGACATCTGCTCCTTTAGTTCATTCAGTGCTTTATAGTCATTTTCCACATAAAGATCCCTACAATCTAATCTTTTTCTAATTACAGCCTCCTTAGTTAAGAGTTAGACCAGCTGCTGGTGGAGATGAGATGGACCCCAAAGGAATACAAAATTAAAGATGGGCCTCAGGGCTTCGGTTCCCATTTGTAGATGATGAATGCTATGTATTTAAGTCATAATATAGTGAACATTCTTAAATCAAAGATCATGCTGTAGACTTATTACAAAAGATGCCCTTGTATTTTCTGAACAGTATTTCACTTTCAAGTCACAATTCTCAAATATGTGTTTTATGCACTTAAAATAGAGCAATTTATCATGAGGGGGTTTTTTTGGCTGTCCAATATCTCTGTTATTAAGAATGCAAAAAATGTTGTAAGACATAGTGTTTTTTATTTATTTATTGCATTTCTTTCATTTATTTAGTAACAGAATTCAAAGATTCCTGACAGCTTTAAAAATAATAAAAAAATACTTTTAAGAGCATCCATTTTATTAGTAATGGGGAGTTAACTGCTGCCTTTTCCAACAAAATGTCTTTTAAATATGTTCATGAGTTACTAGGATTCATTTCCTAACTGGTCACTTGCTACATAGCTGAATATTCTGGGAATTCTATTTTCAGTTATCCAAAAGAAGAGAAGGGGGAGAGAAACATTTATGAACATGTTAGGAAAAACTTTATGTCCCTGCTTAATAAGTAGCAGTACCAGATCCATATGTGTGGGGGACAAAGTGCAATTAGAGAAAGCTCTAATCTTCTTTTTGCGTTCTAATAACTTGCTTGAGACTTGTCTAGCTTGGTTCCAAGGCCAAGATCTAGACAGCAGCAATGAGCTACAGCCATATAGCTTTTCAAACTAGAGTCTACAAGGATAAATGGGGAAAAGTATTTTCCCTTCTAGTATTGCTGTTATGTTTTACATACATAGGACCTTACTTTTGGCATTTTTGTTGTGTTTTCTGTTCCTGACGCTCCCTGCTTGGTGCTTTACTATGGACAAAGAATAACTAATAATTGGAAGTAGTGCTAAAGAATTTTAACATCACTAGCAGTTAAATAATATGCTTTCATATTTCTCTCCTTAGATTTTTTTCAATCACTGATATCACTACTACTTTAATTTTCATGGCAATATTCTAAAATGTTGATTTGTTGATGATGTTAGCTGAAATAGATAATATATGAGATGAGAGTCATTGAATCTTATGTATATAGAGAGTATTCTTTACCTTTGAGCTACAGAGAAGAGACAGATCTTTTATATAACACCCTTCCCTCAAAAGAACACCTCACAGGCAATTTGTTTAAAGTGGGTTAAGTCACAGCCAACAGAGAAAGAGAGAGGGATGAATTAAGTCTTCATTTGGTAATACGGGGGGGGGGGGAACCAGATCATTTCTTTCTCCTCTCTTTTTCTCTGAAACTAAGTTAATTGAGAGAAGTTAAAACTAATTAATAATGCCTTGTAACAATAGGTGAATATGCCCTTTTTAAGTTCCTTCTCAAATGTTGTTCCATCCAATTACAGGTAGTCCTCAACTTATAACCACAATTGAGCACATGTCTGTTGCTAAGTGAGACATATGTTATGTGAGTTTTGCCCCACTTTATGACCTTTCTTGGCAGTGTTAAGTGAATCACTGCAGTTGTGAATTTGGCAACATGGTTGTTAAGTGAAACAGGCTTCCCCTTTGACTTTGCTTGTCAGAAGGTCACAAAACATAATCATATGACTCCAGGACACTGCAACCATCATAAATATGAACCCGTTTCCAAATGGGCAAATTTTGATCACATGACTATGGGATTGTTGCAGTGGTCATTAAGTGTGATAAACTGTCATAAGTCATTTTTTTCAGTGTCATTGTAACTCATTGTAACGAACTGTTGTTAGTCAAGGACTACCTGTATTTCTTATATAGGATTGAGCTACAGTATTTATCGCTGAGCCCTTTGTGCAAACAATAAGATCACTGTAATCAGATCCTCCTCTGTGGTTGCTCTCTGTATTATCTCACCATTCTCCCTGGTCACCATGTTAAATTTTATCAACCCAGGGCTTTTGATAATTCCCCCCAAATTAACAATTGGAGTTCTCTCCAATACATCTCTATTTCCATGTGTCTGCGCTCTTATATGCAAAACTTCACTTTTTTTCTCCCTAAGTAATCTTGGAAGCTACTAAACATGAGCATACAATAGTGGTGCTGATTTTTTTCATTATAGATATAGATATCCATCTTTTAAAAATTGAGTATTCAGTTTCCTGTATGAAAAAATTATCCTTATAAGTATTGTGGCAGCGGTGCTGTCCATGGTACATCTCTACTGTACGTAGCTTAATGAAATTGCAAAAGAAGATATAGTTCATGTTTACATTATCAAACTACTCCATATAATTGTACAGAAATAGCCTTGTTATTAGTATTTTTAATTTATAGGTTCAGTAGTACTTAACTGATGAGCTTATCTGACCAGTAATAAAACTGGCTAATTGGTGTTACATTTATCAGCACCCATGTTCAAAAATGTAAGATTTGCATTACTGTACTGTACTTTTCTTACTGTCTCTTTAATATGACTTTCATTCCCCATGCAATATGTCCAGAGTAAGTGTAAAATACCACACCCAGTGAAAGAAACTGAAACCAGAAAATCTGGTTTCAACTCTGTTGTGTTTTGCATATTGCTTACATCAGAAAAATGTACTGTAACACTGGAGTTCCCTATTACTTCTCTTTTCCCCCTTAAATTCATAGATTTGTCATGCCACAAACTCATGACACAGTACTTCTGTTTTTTAATATTTTAATGTAGTTTCTCTGTTTTAATAAGTGTCTATAGCTCATGAGGAGAATACAACGTGACTTGTCAGATTTGCTGAGCTGTGATTTCCAACATTCTTAGTCAGAGCTAAGAATTAAACTTTAATATGATGAAAAATAATTACAATGCATTTTCAGTTTTTTGAAAAATAAATTTATAGATGGTGCTAACTTAGAATTTCATGTAAATTTACCATCATAATAGGTGATCAATAATGGAAATAGAGTAAGCTCTATAGATATATTTTAGCAACACACTTACTATTGCTATCTGACTATACAAGGATTTATCATAAATGACATCTACAATATCTTCATTTTTAAAATACTCTCTATGTTTACAATATTTTTAAAATCTATCAAACCAGAACACATTGACTTGCCCTTATCAGAAACCAAGGTACACAGATAATAATAGTACAAGATTTAGCTATGTTGCTAAAATGCTTGGATCATAACTTGATAATAAATATTATTTTGTGTATGTTTTAATTACTTTAATGTTTTTACATTGTTGTAATTGTTTTAGAACTTTAGAATGTAAGCCATACCAGGTCACTTGGTTGAGTTTGGTGGCTATAAAATTGAAGGAATGGAGTAGAATGTGCTGCATGAAAATCATAGCATCATAGTCAAGGATAATGTAAAGCATCACTGATTATGTGACCGAAATTCATAGGAACAGATGAATAGCATCTAATAGTTATTATGATAACCACCAATAATTGGGAAAGGCAAATATCCACCATAATTAACTCCTGAGTTATTTAATCATTTTAAAAGTAGCTAGGGATGATGGGACAAATATTTTTTAAGAAACTCCTACATACAAATGACTGCAGTGAAGATTTTTTTTATTTATAGTCCTATGTTCCAGACGTTTGTTTGTTTGTTTGCTATTTTATTTTTGTCTGTTAATAGAAGCAATAGTTGGAGCAACTTTTCCAGGTATCTCTTCTAGATAGTTTTAAAAGGAACAGCTGAAATTAATAGGGCCAAATTCCTTGGAGTGAGTTTTCACTCAGATGTTAAAGTAAAAACAAGTTTATATTTGCATATTCATATGTTTAAGCTAGTTTTATATCTGAATTATTTCTATGCATATTTCTTAAAAGATTTCTCATATTCTGACGTGGGATTTCTTTCTTCCTTTTCCTTTTCTGCTACATTGGTTGTATTATTAATAGTTATTTTATTATTAATGGATGAGGAGTGAGGGACTGTTTTGTGTAAGAATAATCATTTTGCTCATGGAGTTCGTCTTTCAACATGTGTTCCATGACTTTATGACATCTCATTTTAGAACACTATTGCCAACTTCTGATTCTAATACCTGAGCATTAGATTCCTTACAATACTGTGGCATTACTGTATGTTGTTGATAGTTATATTTTAACATTGCCCATTTTTGTACTATATATACCTTTGATTGTATAAAACGATTTAATCTAATATTGAGCACTGTTGGGAAAATCATAAAGCATTTTAGTAAAGAAAGATGTAAATAAGAATTTTTACTCAAAAATTCTAAAATTACTCACTCCCAATTTCCATGGAATTGATTTCGGAGATATGTTTGGTTTTAGATGAAATCATGCATCAGGATATTGTTCCCCTCCGTGCTGAAGATATTGAAGATGAGTTAAGAAAAAAGTTTGCATATCTTTCAGGTAAGAATTAGAAAAACTCTACTGGACATACTGCTAATAAAATTATCTATTCCTAGCAATCATCCTATTTGCTGAATTCCTTTGATAAAATGTATTAAAATTTCAAGAACAAAATAGTGAGTTGAAATCTGATCAATGAAATTTCTAAGATGATCTTTTCACAGAAATTAATACTCTTTTAGATGCTAGCTTGGATGTGAGAATTAAAGATTACATCCTCCTTAAATGACATTCTGAAGTTCTTTTATTATATGCCATTCTTCCCAACCTGAGCATCCTATATATGAGGAATTTAACAGGAGTTAAATTTAACTCTCAGTCATCCTGGCTAGAGAACAGGAAACTGCTTTGACACAAGGAGCCTCAAATTGCCATCTTATTTAGATGGAGAATCTCTGGGGCCAGAAGTAAGATGCATATATAGCCACTTTGTCTAATGAGGGTTGAAGTTGTTTTTTTCCTTATGGATCCAAGACCTCAACAGCATCGCTTTATCAGCCAGGGATCAAAATATACCACTGTTAATGTCAGCATGGAGTGCCAGTTTTTTCTAATGATTAAGTCATCAGGCTAGAAACCAGGAGATCATAAGTTCCAGTCCTGCCTTAGGCATGGAGCCAAGCTGATGACCTTGGACCAGTTCCTCTCAGCCATAGGAAACAAGCAATGACAAACTAATTCTGAAAAATCTTGCAACTAGTCCAGGCAATCGCTAGAAATCAAAAAGTGATTTGAAGGTGGATGCACACAATATCAACATACTGATGATGCTTGATCCATGCTGATGGATTGTCTTATCCAGAGACATCCTGTTGAACAGGAAAGGGAAGAGCATTGAAATCTGAGGCACCTTACAAATCAGAGTTTTGGGCTGGACCTCTTCTTGTCAATACTGAGTAGCATTGGCCAGGGAAAAAGCAGAATGAGCATAACACTGTGCCTCCCATTCCCAAACCCTGAAATCAGTCCAGAAGGATACCATGAAAGCTGCTGAGCAATGAAGAAGAACTGGATGCTTGTATCATCCCATCCTGGTTTTGCTGGATTCCTGTGGTTATGGGGTGGGCTTCAAAGATTGCAGCAACAGGTTCCCTGCCCCATTGCTGGTTGGATGTGGCCATGGTGGACATGGTCTAGTTGGCCCCCTGTACCACTGTGGGGGGGTTTACCCTCCCCAAGCTCCAGAGACTTAAGCCTCTAGGAGGGCAAAAATTCCCCCAGGCTCCAGAGAATCTCCAGAGGCCAGAAACAGTGGAGACGCTTAGGTGGGGTGGGCGTGGCCAGCCATGGATGGCATTTGGGGGTTTGCCAAACTGGGCAGAATCCTAGCTAGAGAATCACTCAAACCTATGTGAACCCCCAACAGCCCGCTCCTGATTATAATCCACCTTCACTGCTCATCAGGCCATAATATCCTTCTCTGTCTTTTTTCCATCTTTCTCTTGTTTACTCTGCACGCCTTTAATGATGGATATATTTAATTATGGATATATTATCTAAGGTACTATCAAATTTGGTGGTAATGCTGTTCCTTTGCCCCCATGTTGAAAGAAACTCCACTTGCTTGTTCTTAGACCCAACTATGCTCACTTTGAATTCCATTTAACACCTGGTCTTATCGTCAGAAGATTTTTCTTTCTTCCCATTCCTTTTAAAGTTCTTTTTTAGTTTTCAGTTGGTACTTTTTTGTTAAGTTGTTCTCAAGTCACTTGGTGGTTCTTTTCTTTCTATTGATCTTTCTCTTTTTGATTTCAACAGTATTTAACAGCTGAGTATTTTGCCATCAGATTAAACTTTGAGCTCCAAGTTTTTAAGCAGTCCTTCAGAGCCCCTTTTATAACACACATATACATACATACATACATACATACGTGTGTGGTTTTGGGGGGAGGGGTTCCTGTTAGCTAAAGCTTATTGCATTGCTAAAATAGGTTAGAAATGATCTCAGTAATAAAAAGAATTTAAAAATGATAAATTTTCAAAGAAACTTATATTGAAATGAAATGCTGAAAACTAAAACCAATTAAAATCTAAGATTTGTAAAGTTTGAACAATTAAAGTTTTTACCTTACAAAGCTCAAAGATGTGCATTTTAAAGATACAATGCTAGGTTAATGAAACATCTGCAAGGAAACAAACAAGCTTAGTGAGCAACAAGGACCCTTAATTTTAACCTTAAACTACAAACATTTTCTTTTATTGATAAAATAATTTTTATATCTTCTATTTCTCTACTATCCCAAACAGGAGTAAAACATGTAGCAAGCCAGAGACATTCAAACACTGATATTGGAGAACACATATTGTCCTCTTACTTTATAATATAATATTCTACTTTTTCAGTACAGATATACAGCCTGATCTGAATTGGAATACAGTTCTTTGAGAGTATATTTTGTCACGTATCTTGCACAAATCAAATCCATAAACATTTCTCCTTTAAAGTGAACTTTTTTGGGCAGTGAGGCAAAACTACTCTAATTTTGCAAAAAAATCAATTATATCACTTGTGTCTTGGTCTTCATTTTGTATCTACAACGCTGGTTTGGGTTTTGATCCCATTGGATGGGGTTGTCACTACAAACAATCAGTTACAGTCAATTCATCTAGTTTCATATTAGTCCTTTTAAATAACATGATAAGATTTATTTTTGGAATGAAATTCTTTTCTTTCTAGGCGGACGAGGACGAGATGGCTGTCCTGTCATCACTTTTCCTGAATTCTCTGCATTTGGTGAGATTCCAGAAAAGGAGTTTCAAAGTGTTTTGACATACCTCACTAATATTCCCAGGTAAGGTTCCCAGTTACAATTGAGCAATCTATACCAGTGTTTCCCAACCTTGGCAACTTGAAGATGTCTGGACTTCAACTCCAGACTGCGAATGCTGGCTGGGGAATTCTGGGAGTTGAAGTCCGGACATCTTCAAGTTGCCAAGGTTGGGAAACACTGATCTATACAACCTACTGAAAAGTCTCCCCACAAATTTTTGATTCATAGAATGCAGAGACCTGTAACATTTTGGCTAGGAAATATAGGGCAGAGAGAATTTTTAATGGAAGGTAGACAATTATAGAACATTTTTCAATATAAAGCAGGGTATATTATTATTCAAAAGAAGCTGAAAGTAGAAGTTTGATTTGTTTGTTTTAATATTTTTAATTAGAACAATAAAGAACAAACAAAGAAAATTTTCAAAACCAACAAAAGACAACAGAAACAAGCTAAACTCAAAAAAAACCCACCCTGACCAAAAGGGATTACAAACTTTCTACACATACATTATCGCAGTTTCAAATATTAAACAATACTTAAACATCTCTAAATCTAAATTAAGATATCATTATAAAATGTCATGAAATCTACCCTTGAAGAAGATATATTGTGTCATTTCTGATTAGTAAATGAAATTTTCTTTTCAAAAACAGATAATTTAAACATTACCTGAATCCAATCCTTCATACTAGAAACATTGCAACTTGTTCTTTTCCCAAACTAATGTAGTGTATGAGTGATTCCTTATTTCCTTCTCCCTTTCCAAATTACCTTCAATATGCCATTAGATATCATTTACCTGGAAATAAGCTCAATAAGTTCCAAAGAGAAACAAGTTAGGATATTGTTCTACCAACGTGAGAGCAAAGATGTAGCGTGTTTTAATGCTTCTATATTTTGAGTGTAATATGTCTGTTCTTAGTAATTTCATTGAGATATTTGTTTAAAAGAAGTAGTTTTTAATTCATTGGACCTTTAAGTTAATAAATAACTAAAAGTAACAAGAAAAAAGAAGATTTAAGCAGTTTCTATTGGATAAATAATGTATTTACTCAGAGCTCAGGAGATGGAATCTGGTTTTCCCAGAACACATGCCTGGGAAAAGTGTTCAATAAATGACATGCAATTGGTGAAAGTGCCATTGTATTGCCATGATTTGTACTGAAGTACTTAAGTAATATTCTTAACAATACCCCTAGTTTTACCTGGAGGCTAAACTATCTATCAGAAAGTTGCATGCAGAGCCATATCAATCTATAATGACACAATTCCTGTAGCTAGTAATGTTTCTTTTAACGTGTGTTCCATTGAGCTACGGTACTTTCTATCCATGATGCCAATTTAAGTCAGTTCAGATTGGGCACGAGTCACAGTCTTGATATGAATGGAAACTTTAAAAAAAAAATATATATTTTTAATTTTTCCCATTATTTTAAAATTTTGTACTTGTTTATGAGGGATTTGGTAAGAGCAAAAACTCCCTAAAACCCCCAATTAAATGATGGTATTTCCCTTCCTTATCACTGTGATTCCTTTTCAGTAGCATAGTTCCTTTTTCCAATAAAAAAAGACATCGCAACTTTTTTCATACATAGTCTGCTCAGCATACACAATAATTAGACATTCAAGTCATTTTGGTTTATGCTTGCCTATCATTTGTATTGTAAATAGCTGGCAATCAATTTTTCACATTACATGATGGGTTTGTATCTTCAAGTAGAAAACAAAAATGTGTCTCTTTCTTTGCACTCTCCATCTGCAGCACATGCAACTGAACATAGCAAAAGAAGGAAATATTGTCTCTTTCCATCATCTCAGTGTCTTTCAGCTGTAGACTGTTGTGGATCTTCCTTCTTAGCTCAGTTTCCTGTTTGGAAATTTCTGTTTTTGTTCATATGATCCTTTAAAGATTGGGACTAGCAATGTCAGATTTCTTAGGTAGAACGAGGAATATAGAACCTAGAAACTTATATTTCATAAGATGAAAGTTACGTTACTCTACATAGAAAATTACGTATTGGCGACAAAAACACTTAGGGAAAAATAGTTTTTATTCTGCAGTAGACATTATTGATAGTTCTTTAAAGTATGTTCACTGTACAAGAAAACACAGCCAGTGAGTTAAAAAGAGTTATATGTGTATAAAGAAGCATATCAGATTAATAAAACCCCTGGTCTTCAGGAAAAAGGGTAATAGCAATAGTACTTGGACTTATATACTGCTTCACAGTGCTTTACAGCCCTCTCTAAGCGGTTTACAGATTCAACCTATTGCTTCCAATAATCTGGGTCCTCGTTTTACCCATCTTGGAAGGATGGAAGGCTGAGTCAACCCTGAGCCTGGTGAGATTCGATCTGCCAAACTGCTGGCAGCCGGTGGTCAGCAGAAGAAGCCTGCAGAACTCTAACCACTGCGGCTCATTAAACATTATTTAATGAATGTTTTGAGCACTGGACTTGCATGTAATGTTTGTTGACTCTGTTTTAATGAGATTATGATATTTCATACTATCTTTTAATCAACATAAATAGTTGAATTTGCTGGTATAATAGGGCATTCTTGCTATAAGATCTGGTGAATGAATTCTTTTTTGTTTCCTCCTCTTCCTCCTCCCTTTCCAACCCAGTTCACAAGATGCTGGAATTGGATTTATCCTGGTCATAGACCGCAGGCAAGATAAATGGACATCAGTGCGCACCTCTATAATGCGAATTGCGGTGAGTTGCTCTGCAGCTAATGCTTCTTTTTCCTTGACAAATCTATGTGAATTGAGTAACATGTTTATCTTCCAGAGTGCCTGGATCTATTTTTTTTAAATATAGAAATGTTATAAAATAATCTGCTTCTCAAATAAATGTTGCTTATTTGAGAAGCAGGAATAATCTGCAGTAATATTAAAGTAGCTTTAATAAAATTTGAAGTTTGTAGAAATTGCTGCATTATATTTAAAGATGCAATGAATATTTTTGATCATAACTATATCAATATTGCGGTTTTGTTGATTGTAAAAGTACATACAAACTACTGAACATTTACTGATATTCTGTTTGTGTTCATTGCAGTCTTGCTTTTAAACAAATATCTGTCCATGATAAACTACTTAACGCAGAATTGGAACTTAAAAACATTTTAAGATCCTTGTTGTGTCCACTAACAAAGATCTGTATATACTTTTATTTATAATAAGGAATATAAAAAGAAATAGATACAATTTATAAGCAATTCTTAAATTACCACTAAAACTGATAGTACTTTATTTATGTTTCTATAATGTAAAAACAATAAAAACAGTCTTCTAGTACTATGCTAGTCATGTGTTATTTTTTTTTCTTTGTATATGTGATTGGGTTAGTTTGGTGGAAGGTCTGATTAGAACTGATAAATACTATATTAAATCAATATGCATTTATACATGGTTAGATTTGTTATTTCTGGAAAATGAGAATCAACGATAAAATAGCTGATTGGTTTATCAAGGCAACACCTTAGTTTTAGGCTCTCAATGGATTAGAGATAAGCATCTTTTTCCCTTCTAAATAGCAACATCATTTATATAGTAAAATTTCTGAGTTGTTAAGTTTTCCATTTAAGGGAAATTGTATCTCATAATTACATACAGAAAAAATATTAAATCTAGAAATAGTAATTGTTTACTTAAAGACAATAATAAGGGCAAAGCTACCAGAAATTTGAAGGAGATTTAAGGAATAATGTCCAGAAAATACTGCCCATTTTCTAAAAGCAAGATTTTTATTATTTCTATGGTACAAGAACACTAGAGTTAGTTATAAAGTTATTTTTTATTAGAATCAAAGGATTTTTTAAAGTTAATAACATAAACATTTCCAAGTCTAGCAACGTTTGACCTAGTTCAAGTATATTCCACATCTCCATTTTCTAACTTGAAGTAAGTGATGACCCTTTAATGGGGGGAAGATGGGACAGATAAAAAGTTGATGGCATTCTGATGCCTATTTACTGAGACATGATTCTCTCTTCCCTTAAGCAGTTGGGTCCATCAGCTGTCTCCTTAACATGAACTTTGCTATAGTTTAGCCAACAAGATAGTTGATGGGTTTAGTTAATTAGTTAATTGATTGTGGGTTGACATGCTTGCCTCATCCTCCAGGTTGGCAGGGATGAACAGTTTTTATACCACAGATCAATAACTGTTCATCTCTGTTTGGATGCATACTAAGTTTTCCACTTTTTAATTATAACCATTGGATAATTTGCCTTATTAATTCCATTTTATGCTGTAGCAAATAGGGTGTGACCAGAATAAAGTTACCTATTAGCTCATCATTCCTTGTGACCCTATTTTAATTTATGCTGACAACCATTTCAGGTACCTGAGGTAAGAACATCATGATTAATACAAACCATGAAGGACCAACCCACTGTCATTTAAGTCATGGTTTTGAATAATTATTGATATGTGGCAATAATAGTCATTTGGCATAATGTGTATCATCATTTCAATCAGAAGAAGGAGAAAGGAAGTGGTATGGAAAAATGGGAGGAAAAGTGAAATGGTCACATATTTCTGATCTGCAGACCATAAACATAATGTTTTGAACAGCTCTGGGCAGCTTACAGTAAGGGATTGTGTTATTGTTGTTAAATAATAAGTACTGTCTTAAAAGTATGAGAAAAGATAGAAAGGGAAACAGTCCAGATCTATTGCCTCTGGTCTTGTTTTTAAATGTCCATGATTTGACAACAGATTTTTTCCCAAGGTGAAAAACCTTACTCTGTTTGGATTATCATTTTATAAACAAGTTTGTATTACAGCTAAAGTTTTGAATGTTTGTATTTTCTCAGCTTTATGGCCCTTTTTATTTTCAAAAAAAAAATGTCAACTAGGAGGCACTCTTGGAAAAAGGCAAGGATTGGGAAGTTGAAGTAATTTTAATAGCAATGCCAGCTAATCAGGTAGTCTTGCTTCTGAATAGTCCCTGTGGCTAAATGTTTCTATTTCACTGTGGTCTCACACTGCGTGTGTTTGTGTCCTTTGTGTCCTCTACATTGCTGGATCTGAAAGATGTTTATTTCCCCACCTACTTCAGGAATGTATTTCCTAGCAGGATAGCAGGAGAATTGTCTCCCTTTTTTACTTTCAAATTCTTTTTCAGTACAGATGATTCTGTAGAGCTGGTGTGTTCCAGGCCCCACAGCCAGTTTTAAGTTGGCATTTGTGAACTTGATGATTTGTTTGCCTTTTGGTTTCTTTTAGACTCATGAGGGTTGGGAACTATTTTTAAAAACTGGTTTTGAGTTATCGGTCAATGTTAAGTAAAGATAAGCTATTGTTCGTTGGCTTCTAAAGCTTTAGGGAGGAATGGATTGGCTATGGTGAGGTAACACCTTGAGGAAACATTGCTTGATCATCCCTGAATGAGGTAACTGTGAAGAAAACAGAACCAATATCCTTCCAGGTGCAAAGTTTATTCATTTCAAAACCCTTCAGCTTATTATATTACCTTGTAGTCAATGTGACACGTTCCAGGGCATGTCAGTGAAGTATAGCATGCATTTTACCAATATTCCAGAAATTATTTTTCAGCTCCAAATTCTTTATAGAAATAGAAAATAAAGCCTGAAGCTCTCAGATTTTAAGGTGTAATGACTTCTGCATAATGTTTATTGAAAATATATTGTTTCTGAGAACATCTGGATTTCTTCAGTAAATATGAAATAAAGTTTCACTAAAACCTAAATAAAATTGCAATTTAATGGAGTGTTTTTTTTTCTAGAATGAGTCATAAAATCACTTTCTTCTACTGTATTTTTTCCATTCAGGTTTTGTTATTGTTTTTAATTCCTCATAGGAAACCAACTTAGGGACACATATCTCAAACGCCACACATCTTATGTAAAATATGATAAAGCATTTCTGTTTTCTGGTTACAACCAAAAGATCCAACTGTAGGGATGATTCTGTAAGATTAAAATGTTTTATTAGGCAGAAAAAGCTTTTTGGTTTATTTGTTTCTAAATGTGTCTAAATTACTAATAATAAAAATTTCATGGAGGAAAAAAATATGTGATTTTTTTCTCAGGCTAAGAATCTTTTGAAGGCAACTATGGTATATATACAGCTTAGCTTGTGGAAAGCAACACATTATTATCTATAAAATGCCCATTCTTAAGTAAAAGATGCTGCCTAGAAAAAAAGACAATTGTGCATTTTTCAGGAACACTATCATATTATTAGTATTAGTATTATTAGTATTATGTTATTTTAAAGAGTCAAAGTTTCTCTTGTTCAGTATAAATATATCAATGAAATAATACACTAGCTCAGTTTAGGCAGCACATCAAATAATGCTTTTAGGAAAGCGTATCTAAGATTTGGTGCAATAGTTTAATTAAAAATGACATCAGCTACAGAACCTCTCTCAGAACATAGATCTTGGAAGCCATAAATGATAATTTGGTATAATATCTGAATTGGCAGACTATAATTACATCCTTTTCTATTATTACTCCATAGAAATTAAGCCCTAGTTTGCCTCTATTTTTTGAAATTCAAAATGTAATCCAGCTTAATCTGTAGTTAATACAAAATAAGTGTAATGTAAATTCATCTGTTGATTCTATTTAATAATATGTTAAATATGACTATTCTCTTTCATCATTTTGCAGACATCATTTCCAGGAAATCTTCAACTTGTTCTGGTTTTGCGTCCAACTGGATTTTTTCATAGAACTCTCTTTGACATTGCCTTTAGATATCATGGAAATGACTATAAAATAAAGCTGCCGGTTAGTGTTTAATCTTTTTATTTTCATTTGTAATTTATTTTTGTGCAGAGTAGTGTGATAAGTACATTGCAATAATAAAAAGTATGTCTTTAATATAACTTTTCTTACACTTTTTTTCTACATAGGCATCTTTTTCCATCACTAATAAATGGACAAAAATTTTTATAGAATTTTCTGTAGATCAAATGGTGGTGTGTTTTTTTTAAAAAAAACCTGATTTAAGCCTATGCTTTTTTATATTTGAAATTATATCATTAAAAATAATTTTAATCTTTTCACTATAATTTATGAAAAAGTACTAATTACTATTCATTAAGTAATATTTATTGCTTATTTTGGTGAGCTGGTGATAGCATTTTTTAAAAAATGTGCATAAATGAGGTCTATTGTAGATGTTCTTATATAAGTGCATTTTTTTAAAAATGATTTAGTAAAAATACCTAGGATATTGTAAGTGAAAGAGTAAAGCATTTATATGCTGTTCATTAAAGAACTGACTTTTTCAGGCTTTAAAAAGCTTTAAAAGGGTTAAAAATTGTTTGATATTAATTTCAATATTAATTAAAAGACTCTTTAAAGCAGTTACAGGTTTTCTGTATTCATGCCATGAGGTCAAAAGAACTCCTTCCAAAACATTTTCAAACCATGCTCAGCTAATATTTAGTTGATATAATTATTTGGTTAAAAAAAACCAAACAATTAATGTGGGGAAAAGTCACCCAATCTCACACTCAAGCCTTATATGCTAATAGGCAGGAACTTTTCTAGGATTAGTCAAAATAATACACATGTGTGCACAATCTTCTGAGGTTTTCAGAACTATTCTTCAAGCAGTTTAAATGCTCTTATTTTGGATTATAAGGCTTCATAAATCATTCAAAAATTCCCATCTGATTGCTTAGGAGCACAAACAGAGCATCTGCCTGCTGTTCTTTAAAACAGCCTTGTCTTTTTCCAGGATTATATCACTGTCTTCTGAAGCTGCCACATAAGCCTAGGAAACGAAGTGGCTGCTTTAAAGACTTCCAAACAAAATTTTACTTTTGTTAACACTCCAAATAACCCTTGTCATTCAAATCTAGAGCATTGCTAGCCCTATTAAGTAAGAATAAGAACTTCTGCTATTTTATATGGCCTGTAAATATCAAACTTTTCCTAGTTATTAAGACTACGCCTTGATTGAAGGAGATATTTTATATGCTGTTATAAGAGGGAAACTCTCCTTTATCTAATAAATTGTGTTTCATTGAATACTATTATTTAGTTTCATGACTACAAATTTGCCAAAACTACCAAAGCAAAAATCCAAAAATCATGTTAATTGTATTCACTTGATGTTGCAATTTCTGTCTTATAGATCATAATGCTGAGTTCACTAACAGAATTAAATAACTATATTGATACAACCCAACTAACTGAAGATCTTGGGGGTTCCCTAGATTACTGCCATAATAGGTGGCTTACACAGCGCACTGTGAGTTTTTTTTTAATCTTTCTATTTCATAACCTGTTAATAGATACAAATTGAAATATCAGTGATTGTATCTCAAAAACATTAGGTGTAATGAATTTGGAAGTGTTGAGTTGTATTAAAAGGAGTTTTTTAAAATAAATTTTTAGAAAATACTTTTTTTTCCAGAACTATCCTCATAAACAAATATCTCTCTCATATACTGTATTTTTCAGAATATAAGACGCACCGGAGTATAAGACACATCAAGATTTTGAAAAGGCAAATTAAAAAAAAGTTTTTGCACTCTACAGACCTCCTCAAAACAGCCCGTTTTTTGTCCAAAAAAAAAAGGACACAAATTGCCTTTAAGAGACTTGTAGAGTGTTCCTGGGGGCTGGGCTGGGCTGGGCAAAAATGAGCAAAAAAGGCCTGTTTTTCACAAGGAATGCAGTTAAAAAGAGGAAAATCAGTAAGATTAAAAGGATATAGAGATTTTGCTGGAAATTTTTTAAAAAATATTTTGAAGAGCTAAACAAAAGGTTTCCAGCATAACTAATGGAATTATAAATAAAAGTAATAAAATGGCTTGGGATGAAACTGAAGTGAAGATTGCTAGACAAAATATTCTAAAAGTGGCACGTGAAAGAAGCGGGCTGAAACAAATACTGGAAATATTGAAGTAAATGTCTGTCAAAAGACATGAAAATGGCCAATAGAATTTACATTTAAGTGTATGAGAAGAAACATACGTTGAAGCATAAGTTCAAGAAAGTGCAGATAGGCTTCTTAATTGTGTATGGTGAAATGAGAAGCGATAGGGCCCTGATGGTGAACCTATGGCATGTGTGCCACAGGTGGCACGCGGAGCCATTTGTTAGGGCACCCGAGGCATTGTCCTGTCAGCTCCTGTTGCCCTGGCCAGCTGACTTCGGCCTTCATTTTTTGTTGTTTTTCGCCTTTCAGAGGGCGAAAAACAACCCAACGGGCAAACCAGAAGTTCGGGAATGACTTCCAGCTTGCCCATAGGGCCAGGGAAGCCTCCTAAAGCCTCTGGAGGGTGAAAAATGGCCCTATGGCAACCCGGAAGTTCAGGAACGGAGTTCCGGGTTGCCCACAGGGCCATTTCTCGCCCTCCATAGGCTTCAGGGAAGCCTCCTGATGCCTTCCCTAGAAACCCTCTGGAGCCTGGGAAAGGCAAAAAATGGGTCCATTGTGCGCAAAAACTGGGGAGACGACAGGAGTCACATGTGCATGCGTGGGGGGAGTCACACACATAAAATTATGGGTGTGGGCACGCCTGCACAGGATGCTCCCCTGCGGCCCCCCGGCTTTTGGCACGAGATGGCAAAAAGGTTAGCCATCACTGGGATAGGGTGTTGATTGAATGTGAACTCTCTACAAAATTCAAAGGGTGATCTATATCAGTGGTTGCAAATCTGTGGTCCTTGGAACCTGGGGAGCTGTGATGACATCACAGAGATCTATGAAAGCATGAAGAAATTTTATGATTTAAATTCTGAGTTACATTTTGGGGGTCCATAACCCTATATAAAAGAAGTACCTGGAGGTGGTTTAATTACAGGCAGAATGATTCAGTTGCAGAACAAATTACATGGAAGAAGAAAGAATAAATGAGAATGTTGTGGTTGGACAGAAACTCTGAAGAAGTATGAGATGAGGACTTTAAAAAATAAAAGGGAGTGTATGAAGTGATATATAGTCATGTAGATGCACATCTATTTGTTCAAAGATAAACAGGTGCAGAGGGGTTAGGTTGGTATATTTAGCTATATTTCCATTTCTTTCCTTGTGTCTTTTCTTTGACTTATTGTGGCTTACTTCCTTTGTGCACTTTGCATGAATATGCAAGTATATAATTAAAACACTTTTAAAATAATATTTAATATCACAAGTACACTTTAAAAGTTTAAGGATACATTGTAAAGGGGTTAATGGTGGAGATAATTTTTAATAGAATATACATTGCTTGAGATTGAACTGAAATTGAACTGTGGACTCTAGGAACTGCCAAGGAGAAAATGACAACCTCGTCAAAACTGGCAGAGCAAGTTGCTATATATAAACAAGGTGTAAACCTCATTCTCGCTTGCATGACTGATTATCTAGTTGGGTAAGGAAAAGTCTGCAAACAAAGTCAGATTCCACCAAGGACCCTCAGAGATAATTTTATTTATACCTATAGAAATATATTTAAAACACAATGTAGAAAAGACATGTCTTCCGTGTCCAATGTGTGTCATGTATTTGTAATTTATAAGGCCATAGACAACTTTGCTCGAATGGTTAAGCAGATACCTCAAACACTTCAATCCTTTGGGAATGAGCTTGCAGAAGAAGAGCTACCAAATGATGCTGAGGCCACCAGCTACCTCCTGGAAACACATACAGAAAGGAGAGACAAAATGAAGGTATGTTAGAGCAATTGTACATTTTATTGGATTACCCTATTAACTGTGCTTAGTTTTTTTTTCCTTTGCAAATGTTTTCTTTGAATGTTGTGTAGTAACCTCCCTTTGGAACAGTGCCAGTAAATTTAATGATCCCTCATATTTTCCATGGATCTAAAGTTTTAAAACATTTACATTGCTAAAACAGTAAACAAAATCCTGTAGTACAGATTATAAATATGGCAAAGCAATTTCTGTGACAATGATTTTTATCCATAACAAAAGGATTATTTAACTCTTATTTTGGCCTTATAATGTTATAATAAAATTTTTGATTTGATGCACACACAATTAGGTTTTGTAATTTTTGGTTATATTTGTTTTATTCATTTTTAAATCTTTTTATCTCACCTCTAGATTTTACATGTATTCTGAGCAGCATAATACACAGGTGCTGGCTTTCTGTCAGTGTAAAATCAAACTTGCTCTGCTATGTTAAAAAAAAAAGATAGCACAGCATGGATTTGTCACATACCACAGGTTACCCATCCTTAGCTCATACTGTCTTGTTTCCTGGGAGGGCATTTCCAAGTTGAATGCTCATGAAACAGAGCCTAACTATACACCCTTCAACTTTTCTATAGGAACATTTGAAAAACGCATTAAGGCAAGGTGATGATATTCTCCATGTTATTCGAAAACCTGTCCTTGAAAACCCAGAGTACAAACTGAATCCAGATCAAAAAGAAAATCAAATTACTGTGGAAAGGTGAGATGCATCTAGTATTTTAATATATATATTCACTGTATTCCTACTTTCTGTTTCTAAGAACTTCCTGGAAGTAAGATTTTAATACTTTTGTGAAGGTCCAATATGAAAAACAAGTGTCATCTAGCAAGTTATGTTATCTCTGTCAGCAAAAGAATGAAAATTATTTTGCTTGAGAGACTATCAGCCAAAATACAGGACTGTAGTTATATTGTTCCTTGAAAAAAGTAAACCATCTGGAAAAACAAAGCAAAGATACTGATAACAAGTTAGCATTTGACCTAATGTTCAAGAGAAACCCTGTAAGTTTTAGAAACGTCATGCTTCCAATGCAAATTAAATGCATCCATTATTTTTAATGTTCCTAAAAGTATATTTCAAGCCTCTGTGGCCCTCAGCTTTCTAGCAATATCCTATCTTCTTGCCACACACTCACCTTCCTCCCATTAATCTACTTTTCTCATCAATCTTTCCATTATACTAGATTTTCATTTGATAATTAATATATTTTTCAATGCTGCGATTTTTTTTTCTAAGAGTTTCATATTTTTTCCCTTCTTGGGATTTCTCATTCCCCTTACTCCACCTTCAATTGGGGAATGCTTGATACAAAACTTCTTTATTTGTCTTTTTTAAGGCTTTTATCTCAACTAGATGAAACAGAAGCAGCTTTTGATGACTTTTGGTTTAAACACCAACAGAAGCTTGAGCAATGCTTACAACTTAGACATTTTGAACTGGATTTCAAAGAGGTATATGATATGTTGGTCTAATTAAAACAATTCTGCATTAGCAGTATTTCTACTTTAAAATTTTGAATTTTCACTTAAAAGTATCAATTTTCTTAAAATGTCATTTATTCTGCACTAGACAGTTACATTTCATCAAATATATTTTTGATCATCCATTGTATGATTACCATTGAATGGTAATAATTTACATACAATATACATAAAACAGTAATTTAAATATTGAAGTGATAAAATGGAATTAAAAGCTTAGATAATAGTTACACTTTATCAGTATTGACTTACTTGATGTGCCTTAATAATTTAAAAACTTATCTAGTTTAATGAAAAGAAGGACTAGGGGAGATGTGAGAGCAGTGTTCCAATATCTCAAGGGTTGCCACAAAGAAGAGGGAGTCAAGCTATTCTCCAAAACACCTGAAGGTAGAACAAGAAGCAATGGGTGGAAACTAATCAAGGAGAGAAGCAACTCAGAACTGAGGAGAAATTTCCTGACAGAACAATTAGCCAGTGAAACAACTTGCTTCCAGAAGTTGTGAATGCTCCAACACTGGAAGTTTTTAAGAAGAGATTGGACAACCATTGGTCTGAAGTGGTATAGGTTCTCCT